ATTTCCATTACGTGCCCATTGCTGGGGTTTCATTTGGAAAATTTGTTTACTCTTCTCTGGGGATTCCATATGTTGGTTGATTTATAAATCATATTTACAATCCAATTAAATAGAGTAATTTGGCATGTTTGCTCCTATTATATTTATGGTGTACATTTGGTAGTCTCTACTCAGCCTAACTAGCTTTTCAGATTAATTACATGCCCTTCACTGAAAACATTAAACAGATTTGGGAAGTTTAAGTCAGGTACTCTTCTACTGGAAAGAATAAACAAACATCAATGCTACCTGTAGTTGTTTTCCTTTTTGGTGGAAAATTTTACTTATTCAGTGATTGCTTCATAAATAACAATTATTTTATCCAGTAGAGATTTATATCTTTTACTGATGTCTGATGTCATGTTTCAAAATTAATAGTGAGAAAATCAATAGGTTTATTGAGTCACTGAATGAATGAATAGTGAAGGTGGCAGGTACATTTTAAAGCATGTTTGTCATCTCATCTTTCTTATGCTGCTTTTTTCTAAATTGCTAAATCTGACCTTTAAAAGTAAAAAGGAAAATTAAGACAAAACTTTTTAACCCCGGATCTGGGTCATGATTTAACCTGAGGGAAAGCTGAGAGTTGTTTTTATACTGTTTAAAGATTTCTGTGGTTTTCTTTTTTTTCTTTTAAGCAAACGCTTTTGCCTTCTCATGCCTTTACTAACAAGATGGGATCGAACCTCTTTGAGCTTCCCTTCTTACTCAATTTCTGCAATACAGAGGGCACTGCCTCACTAAAATGACCCTAAATATGTTGTCGATTTTGGAGAACTTTGAAATATTTAATACTAATAGTAATACCAACATAAAAGCAAATTTGGTGCCTTAAGTATGAGCAATTGGACAAATATGGAAAAAGTAGTAGTATTTATTTTATGCTCGACAATGTGGTCACAGAATAAGTAAGGCACCTGAAGGTAACACAGGCCTATATCCATGTTCTTCCTTGCACTGAATCCCAGGAGCATTATGTAAGATGAGAGTCCAATCAGGCCCAATTTCTCAGGGGGGATGTTTCAGGGAAAAAAGAAGTGGGTCCATGTAAGGGGATTATAGACATTGCAATGTAACAGGTGGAGAGCCCCAAAGAAAGGGCTATTCCCATCAAGGAATAGGTGGTTCTATTGATCAAGGTTCCAATGGCAAGGGTGTAAGGGGAGGAAGGGGAAGATGACGAAGCAAGTGTTTCAGAGGAAACTGTAATTGTGCATGATAGGAAAAAAATTCAAAGGATAAAGAATGAGTAAGGAAACACTTAGCTGTCATGAAAATTAGAATTCATCAACACATTTTTTGGCTAACTAGAGCATTATTTCTGTCATGTATAATATCAAATAGTTTAACCTTCTCTCCTTGTAAAGGGTTGGGCAAAGGTTTTCACTATTTTAAAAATAATTTTAACCTTAACATTCTTATTTTATGATTCTTGGTGACACTGGTGTCAACAGTATAAGATATTAATTAATCTAGAATGAAAGAGGCCAATACAGATGCAAATACATTTCTATAAGTGGACTGGAATGATTCCTTTTGAAACGCATTTCTTTTTTTTTTTTAAGATTTTTATTTATTTATTTGTCAGGGAGAGAGAGAGAGAGTGAGCACAAGCAGATAGAGTGGCAGGCAGAGGCAGAGGGAGAAGCAGGCTCCCCGCTGAGCAAGGAGCCCGATGTGGGACTCGATCCCAGGACGCTGGAATCATGACCCGAGCCGAAGGCAGCGGCTCAACCCACTGAGCCACCCAGGCGTCCCTGAAACGCATTTCTTATGGATTATTGGGAAAATTGTCCACGAACATGATTGGAGCTATAATCTCTATGCAATGCTAGATTTCTTCCACAATTTGAGAGCTATCTTACTCACCTTTGGAGAGCCTTAGAGTGTGTCCTCTTTGAGCCATTCTCTGATGAGCCATCCTCAGAAAGGGGGGAAAGATTTTTTTTTTTTTTTTTTTAAGAAGTTAAGAAACAGAATGAGGATCTAACAATGAGAATAGGGTTCTAGAAGGAGAAAGAATCTTTTACAAGAGGTTATCTCAAAAGATGCCCTAGTTTGATCTAAAATTGTGTCTATTAATTGTCCTGGAAAAAGCAAGAAAAGATTTGCCACAGAGGTTCCCATGTCAGACAGGGGTGATAACTTCTTTTAAGACATGACCATTGACTTGCCAATTGGCCTGGGGTAAATGGCTAAATTCCTTGATCTACATTCTTGTGTATAAAAAGAGGTTAAGATTTCATTTATATTTTAAAGTGATGTGCAGTGATTTCTTTGTTAAAAAAAAAAAAAACAGAGGACCATCTCATGGGACCCTTGAAATACATTTTAATTTTGATTGAACATTGTGTTGTAATCATTACATATTATCATTATAAACCCAGTAGTTTATAATGAGCTACAATTTACCAATCTTCATTATTCCATAAAATATGCTGGATATTTCTTCGTGCCTGGAACATAGGACATATTCAAAAAGCCTTAGTGTCCTTTCCCCTTCCTCATTTTTCAAAGAATAGGCACTTTGACAATGAGAACAGGAGGTATGTGTTCTTATAGACCAAGTACACGAGGATAACCCCTCTATTTGAATTCTTCTTTAGTCAGAAATCCATGAGCAGTGTTAAGTCATACCCGTGTTTATTCTACTCTGTGTATTACTCTAAATTGACAAAATCCTTTTTGAGAGCCCATCATTGCATTCTCATAGATGTGGAAGTGAAAATAATAACCAAATGAATTAAATTGGAAAATAATTTCTATGTTGCAATTGAATTGGAAAAAGCATCTAATTAACATATGTCTGCTTTTCTTACCTCTAAGGATTGAATCAGATTTACTACTAGTAATTCTAGTATTTACACTACACTCTCACTAGGAGATATGTTGATATGTTAATGCATTCACATCACTACCAGGGAACAGATTTACTCCTTATTTCTAAATAATGTAGAAATTGAGGGGAAAAAATAAGTTACTTGAAGGAGGATGCCAAGTGTTCATGCCACAATCAGGATTATAAATCAGGGTGTTTTTGTTGTTGTTAATAGTAACAATACCAACAATTTATTGGATGCCAAGAGAGCACTGGTTTCTAGGCAAAATCCGCTTGCCAGGGCTGCTGCATTTTGTTTGCAAACTCAGATTTTACATTTAAATTCATTTCAAGAGATTTATCCATGTGGCTTTTAAAAATTCCTATCACAGGACCCCAAAACTTTGCAAACCAATTTTCCAGTTTTAAACCACACATATGCAATTCTTTTATATTCCAATAGACAGTTTCCTTTTTGATAAAACAGCTCTGGGGGAAAAAAAAAAAAAAAACACCTCCAATTTTCATTTAAAAACTCTTACAACTGCCTGGGATTTTGCATGTCCTTTGTCCGAACAGGCATTTTCAACATGACATTTTAAAATACGGCCCATGTTTTATTTAACAAAGGTCGTGCTCATTTTGAGTTTCTAAAGTGACAGCCTACACTCTGTGCCCTTCTTTACTGGAAATGAAAGCTACACCAACCAGGCCCTTCACAAATGCTTCAACAAAAGAGCCAAACAAAACCAAAGTACAGGGAAGGTTGACAAAGGCATTTCGGATAGCTGAACAGCTTCTGAGAGTATTTAATCACCATTAATTCTTTCCTCCCCCTCTATTTCCTTCCTCTAATTCCAAATAGCAAAGCAAATATTGTGAATTTTCGGGTCGTAGCCTCCTCAAAACCTCTGTGGAAGGAATAATGTCTTTCGGCATTATGTTTGGGTAGTACCAGTCTTGCTACTCAAACATACTGCACGTAGAATATAGAGATCAAACCTTTAAAAAAAAAATTCAGACAGTAGTCAGAATATTGCTACTGCTACTCCAAACTTACATTCTGCCACTTTCTGAAAACTGGTGCCATGTCAGCTGCTACAATGTGATTACCTTCCCCTCTTCTCTTTTCCTACTCTCAGGCACCAAATGGTCTACCAGCTGTCAGCAGTTTTGTGTCCGCATCCAGCATGGCTCCTTACCCTACCCCGGCCCAAGTGTCGCCTTACATGACCTACAGCGCCGCTCCTTCCGGTTATGTGGCTGGACACGGGTGGCAACATGCCAGCGGCACCCCATTGTCCCCCCACAACTGTGACATTCCCGCATCGCTGGCGTTCAAGGGAATGCAGGCAGCCAGAGAAGGTAGTCACTCTGTCACGGCTTCTGCACTCTGATGGGAAATTCTGTCCGCACCGCAGCTTCACCCCGTCTCCCCTCAGCCTACCCTCCCCCTCCTCCCTGGTCTCAGATCCCAGCCCTGCTGCCCTCCGCCCCCCAAAGCTGGCTTACGGACTCAAATCCACTGTGCTGATGACACTTAAATATTTCTTGCCATAACTTCTCTCTTACAGAAAGCCTGACATGACTTTAGGATTTGAAAACAAAAGCAATCTTAAGGATTGAATGAGACATTTGTGTTGCCCACACACTGTTTTAACGTAGCAAAGAAACCTGCACCCCTCAAAGGGCTTAAGGAACTTTTAAAACTAGTCTTTGGTAAAACCACATGTGTATATTTATTCTAAATCAACCTGAACTTTTGAAACGTGCAATTGTTGAGATTTTGCAAAATCAATAAAGGAAAATACGTAGAGAAAAGAAGTTATGCTACACCCTCTAATCAAATAAGGTGACCAAATAAGCTTTAATTCATCATTAGGAAACTAATCAATAATTGACTTGAGTGATGCTTTGTTTATTCTTAAGAGATGACCTATTTTGTTGGAAAATATAATTGTAACACAAGCAATATCTGAATTTAGCTGCTCCTGGTGTTTTGACTTGGTTCCAAATACAATAATGTTTATATTTTCTATTAGTTTGTAAATATGGACTCTGGATGGTGCATTTGTGTTTTCATTCCATGGGATATTCCCCCTCCCTCCCACCCCTATCTATTTTTTTCTTTCTTTTTGCAAAGGTGACTTTCTGGCAGCGTCTTTGTCTCTGTTTGGTGGTGGGCTGCTCGGGCTCCTGGACCTGGACTTGCCCCAAATTTTGTGTGTGCAGTGAAGGCTTCAACATCTTATGAAGGACATTTTCTTTCTACAGCAGAGGACTCAAAAACAGATTAAACAAGCCAGTCTCCCATTTTGTATCCTAATCAAACAACACACATGCCAAGCATATAAAGACACGAGGGTGGAAAATATCTGGACAAGAAGGCTTTTAAGGAAGTCACTTAGAAACTTAAGTTTAATGTGAAATGCTTTGCAAAGACACTTAAAATGAACTTTATGTTAAGAAAACCACTGTGAAACTAAATTGTACTGTTATTGTTGGCTTACCTGTGTGTTCAGCAATCTCAGCCCAAAATTATGATGTAATTTAAAGAAAATGGAAAATTCTGCTCTAATGAATGTAAAAACGGCTTGCTGTGAAGTTTACGTTGTTGTACAGAAGCATGGTTCACGTCGAGGTAGACTGGTGGTGGTATTAGAAATACAAATGCTATTTAATTGTTTTAAATTCCCTTTATTCATTTCTGGAGTTACAGGACATAGTTTCCATCTTTCTAGAACAGTTGGGTTTTCACTTCAATGTTAATCACAGAGCTGTGGGGTATACGTGTGTGTGAGCGTGTGCTATGTGTTGTAGTTTAAAACAACTGCTTTTCTTGGGCAAAATTCTATAGTTCTTCTCTTCTGTTTAGAAAGTTCTTCCTGCTTGGCAATATGTAGGCTTGAAACTACATTTTTAAAACATTGGTACAATTCATCTATTGGAAAATTAATACATTGTGGGGTTTTTTTTCTTTTGGTATTAATTCTGTGCAATAACTAAAAGGGCACATCACTAGATGTGGATGTTAAAGAAGCATTCATGAGGTGATCCTGATTTCTTCCTGTCTGTGCTATGCACAGTCCACACGGCAGTCCAGTTCCGCCACATCGGTTTCATGGCTTCACTTAAAACTCAGATGGCTAGACGAGCGAGGTTTCAGATCACTAGCGTATAAACAGTAAGCAGATTTCTGACACAGAAGTTGTATTTGAGGAATTGCTTGCTTCAAGCGACAGCTATCTTATAGAGAGAGCTTTGAACTGCATTTATTTCTAAAGCAAAATTCAGTGCTACAAACAGAGGATTATAACTTCAGGAGAAGAATAAGCAGAAGGAGCAGATGAACTCTCAGGGCCATAGTCTTCCTTTGATCTTCTAAAACTCCTGTTGACATCTGGAGTTCCCAGTCTGGTGAGAAAATAGACTATAAACCGAATGGAACGAAGATACCAGTCCAATATCTTGGTGGAGACTTTAAAACCATACCATACAGGGACTCTCCTGCCGTCCAGAAAAACTGACATAAGGTATAGAATTATCCCTTATCGGATATTTTTTTAGATGGCTACTAGGAGTCTTTAAAAAAATACCAATCATTTGTATGGAAACACAATGAAATATTATTTTCTTTATCTAAATTAAGAAATCTCTTATTAATGCTATTTATAATTTTTTCTGGTTCTTGTATTTTTAAAAAATCTAATGTTAATGATACCAAGATTTTTTTTTCCCTTTTCCCCCCAGGTCTTTTCTTAGCAACAGTGAATTCACATGGAGTAACTTAAGAAAGACAACAGAAAGTTAAAATGCGATTTGCTATTTAAAGCAAAATAGGATTTAAAGCTACTTCTAAAAATCAACGAAGGAAAATAGGATGGGGTAGGGGATTGGGATTGTTTGATTTATAAATGCTATTATACTGGCTAATGTTGACATATTTCCTTTGTTTTTTAGGGGGTAAAAGTGTTGTTTTTAAACTGGCAAATGCACTCTTCAGAGATCTTTTTCCATCCCATTCACAGGGAGAGGTTAAAGGTTCAATTTCATGGCCTCTATGCAGGCATTTCTCTCCCTCACAAGATGCAAGAGCGTTACCTGCAAGGATAGAACACAGTTGTACAACAGACACATTCTTATTTCTCTTGTTTAATGACCCTCTTCTGGAATATTGGGCTGAAATATAAATTAAAAACCACGTTGGAAAGGATGTACAACCGAAGGCTGTGTATGTATATACAGTATGTCAAAAAGCCTTTATTTTTATACTTCAAATGCTCTAAATTAATAAAAAGTAATAATTATCATGTTATCTTTTATTTTGTATTTTCAAAATGCTTTAGTGACATAGCCTCACGGTAGAAATACGCCTCAGTAGTAGTTGAGAACAGGTGTCATCTAGAGCGGGCAGATACTGTGGTTGACCGTAGCTACTGAAGTAGCATCATTTCAGGGTGCAAATATAAAATCAAATCTGGTTCTATCAGTGCCAAGGAGCGGTTTCTTAGAGTGCATGTTAGTACAGGAATCTTTGGAAATGCTAAGAATGTACTTCTATTTTGAAACATTTTCCCCTTCATAGTACACATTTTAACACCACAGATAGTTGACTTCACACCTGAAGCTGTCACTTAAAATGGATAACTTGGAAATGTAGTTTTTCTTTTTAAGAATGGCAAAGGTAAGAGGTCTGAACAAAGATACCTGGATGCAAATACAGACAGCAAAAATGGGCCCAAGGAGTGGCTCCAACTGTGTCTTAACATGAAAATATTTCAGCAAGAAAAACTATTTTCAAAGGGAATTATGTGAAGGAAATTTTAATGTGTTCTATTTGCCACAAAAACCTTCATGTATCAGGATTTAAAAATATGACCTGCTTTAAACAACAGTGCAAAATATAAAGTAGTTTTGGGAAAATATAGTTGTGATGTGTATTATTACTCTAAAGACCACCACCAGATTTAAATTTTAACACAAAATTCAACCTTTTAAAAATGCCATTTTAGTGTACTTTAAAAACAATTTCCTTGTGCCTTTTAAATATTATTTATGGGAGAATTTAATTCCTTATAAAAACTGTTCAAATTTTGGCTTAATTTTTTTTATTACTTTAAGCATTTCTTGACCTCATGGGAAAAAATTATCAATACAATGGATTTTCACTGTGAAGCAGTGTAAGAGGAATACAGAGCATGAGATTTATATAGCTTTTATGAAATAGATCTAATTTCTATGCTATTTTCTATGTTCAATTTACATACCTCATTACTTCATACTATTTTTCTTCTCACAGATTTATGGATATGGCCAAAACCACAGTCTCAAATTGTCTAGAGATAATTTCTGAAGTATCAAAATAGGTTTTGTTCTTGATTAAATTGTTCCCCTTTAATGACTGTACGTAATTGTATAATTATAATTTACAATCATATCAGCTGAGCTGATAGTCTCTCCTTACGGTGCTGTAGAGCAAATATCCATGATCTCAACACCTCCTAGGCAATCACCAGTTCTCCTGAAGCCATGAATGGGTGTACTCATAAACCAGCAGCATCACTGCACCACCTAGAAAAGAAAAGAGCTGGTTTTTATTTCAAATCTGGCAAAGTAGTGTCACTTGCCCCCAGTGGGTTTCTGAATCTGTGAAGTCCCATGCAGCCTATCAGGCAGAGGCTGTGTAGACTTGTCAGTCCTTGGGCTCTAATACATCGATAGAAGGCTACTGTGGAAAATTCTCAGAGCAAAATCAAGACCATCTTGAGTCTCCAAATACCCAAATACATTTTTTTCTCTGAGTTTCTGTAACTTTCATCATTTCTTATCAGATTCTTTTTCAGGCACTTTTAATTTTTTTAAAGTAAATAAATATAGACACATTTAGTCATGTAAGGACATGTGGTATTCCTGCAAACAGAAACCATTAATATTTTTCATATGTAGGCAAAGGATTTATCTTTTTCAGTCCATAATTAGCAGTCCTAATTACATTCTAGAAGGAAAGCTCTAAGACGGTGCTTGATAGATGAGTCTAGTTCTCTCTTACGGCCTTCAAATTGTATTGCAGTGTGAAAAATAGCTTCTGAATATTTGAAAATGTACATATTACAAAATATAGCTAGCTTTTAACCTCCTTTTGCTTTTATTTTCTCTGCCTCAGAGACTTGAAAATTTGGTGGTGGGGTTTGAGTGTCACAGACCACTATTTGTCTTGAAAGGTCAACAGGACTAGGATACAGAAAAACAAACACTGATGTTACCTAGAAATCAGGAAAGGCCTTTGCATGTGGATGATTTTGTGTTCTACCTGATGCAATAAATGACACAAATCCCATGCTCTTGAATCTACCTATCCTCTCATGTCTGTGTGAAAAATACTACAAAATCAAGATGTGAACAAATATCCTGAGCTCTACCTCAAGAAGATTGGGCTGCATGAATAGAAGATTGACTTCTGACAAAAAGAAATATAACTCGATTTTGATCTTCGTTCTTGTGTACACACTGCTGTGTGTGTGTGTGTGTGTGTGTGTGTGTGTGTGTGTGTGTGTGTTTTAATATACAGGCCACACATGTTTGTGTAACCTTATACCAAAGATAATTATCTGCCTGTAATTTTCATTTTTAACCCATGAAGATACTTTGTGAGACCCCTCTCAGCTGCTGAAGCTCTCTTGGCACTCTGGCAAACAAGAAAAGACCCACTAAGAGAGGGTTGTTAATACCTATGTAATTGCTGTGTTTACTCTTATTAACAGTTCTCAACGTAGGACAAGAACACGCAGAAGGGGGTTAGTTTTCAGCCTGGTGATATTTGGAGTTTAAACCACAGACTTCAAGAGCCTCCTTTCATGGGAGGTGACTCGTTGTGAGCCACATGGAGCTGCTTAGGCTGTTACAAAAAGAAGATGGGATGCTTCCTACAACGAAGGATGAAAATCCCAGATATACCCTTTCTTCCACTTTTTTACTCTCTCTGAAAAAAAATAATCTTATCCTTAAGTCAAATGTCATACTTTCCTCTCTACCTTTCTTTCCTTTAAAGCTGCTGGGACTTGCGTGTTTGGGGGACTTGCATATGAGTGGAGGCCAGGCCCCTGAGGGAGATTTCCAGTCACTCACAGTTTTGTTTAGCCTGGACAGTCCACTCACAACAACACTTTTCATTGTATTTAACACCACAGCAACTAAGGACACCTCATGCAAAAACATTTAAAAAGCCAACCAAACATTTGCAAGCCTCTAACAAAACTTGGGGTCAGATTATTTAAGAGTTTTGGATTAAGGTTCCAGTCAATTACTGTTTTAGGTAAACTCTCCCTGATCACCACTCTTTTCAGGCCCATCCCCTCCTGACAAAGCTGGGTTAGGGTCATTCCTATGATTTTCTCTAATACTAGGTCTACCAGCAGGGTTTTTACTGTGTGGTGAAGGGAAAACACCACATGCTCACAGAGAGAGTTGCACAAAATCACCAATATTCTTTGTCATTGGCTTTGTTTTTACACATGGGCCCATGACTAACAGGGGGCAAGTCTCAATCTCAAATGTGAAGCAAAATCTGTGCTTAAATGCCTAGAAAAGTGGGGCTAGATGGACTGGGAATTGTGGAAGTGTTTTCTAAATAGATGAAAGGGTGAGCTGTCCTCTGCCTCAGGTTGGTAGAAATGCTGGCTCACTGGGCTGAGGTTCAACGATGGTAAATGTGCCTGTGTGTAAGTGTGGTATGGCGGGAGGACCGGGGGTGTTAAAAGGGAGGAGTGGGGAGGGGAGAGGAGCAGAGGAAACTTCTGGGAGAGGATACAAGGATGCCTACGTAGGTGAGTGTGGCCTGGTAAAAAGACAGGCAAGGGCTGGTGCCTACTTCTGTGCTTAGACTGGGGTTGCTTATAATCCAAGACTGTTTGCCCAGGCGGTTGGGTCTGCAGTAGTTATGTTCTTATCTATTGACACAGAGGCAGCTGACTCTCCCTGTGGGAAAGGCAGCCAGTTTTTTTTGTGGGCTGGCATCTGGAGGCAAGGCCCCGAGCCAGGAGCCTCCACCATCAGGCCCACAGAGGCCCGGAAGGTGAGTGCCAGGTTGTAGCACTCACCACAGGCCTCCCGGGTGACAGTGAGGATAAGTGGCTCCCGCGCTTCATGGAGGCAAGTTACACTTCCTTTTTGTTTTTGAAATGAAGTTGAGGCAGGAACAAGAATGAACTTTGGGGATCAGGGGGGAGGGCACCAGGAGAGTTTTATCCGGCTGATCCCTCCCTCAGTGAAAATCCTCCCCCCACAGCCTCCTCCTTGCTCACTCAAACTCCAACTGGCTGTGGATCCCTTCCTATTGACTTAAGCTGGGCTTTGGCTTCTATCAGCCTCCAGCAAAGTCTTAAATAGTAACTCATAAACAAAGGCGGAAAACATTTCTAATGGATGCCTTCAGTGTCTTGAATACTTGTTGACAACTTTGTATCCTCAAGGTTTCCATCTTTCACAGTGCGATCAACGTATCATGTTGCTGATCGACAGGAATAAAAAAAGAGACACTAGAACAACAAAGAAGGAAGGAAGGATAGAAGTAATAAAAACATCATTACCTGGTCCAAGCCTCATAATCTTGGGAAGCAGGCCTTTGTACAAAGCGAAAATCCTATAATAGCAAGGGAAAGAAAACATTCATTAATTCTGAATTCCGAATTCTTAATTCTGAAATTAATTCTGAATTCTTAATTTTGAAAGTAGAATAGACCAGCTTCATTGAGATGTTGACCCAGGGTCTCTAAGAAAATTTATCTGAAATCACATCTATCTCAAACCAGGCAATAATGTGGCTATATATTTTCTGCAGCAGACTGGACAAAGGGAAAGGGCTAATGAATATTGCCCAAGCTATGCTGATCATGTCCAACCAGAAATATGACTTTCCTCAGTGAGATGGCTTTTGCTTTGAACATAGGTCCTACTTTCATGACAGCTGTGAATATAGGCAAAATGACTTTTGTCATTGAATTTAAAAGACCACAGACTCGGTCTTCACAAAAGGAAATACGACATAGTGTAGATCAAAATAACAGAAGATTCTTCGTTTACTTGAGAATAAGATCTGAGTGAGGAGGGATGAAGAGATGGACATAACACTTAAAGACGAGCAGAAAGCAGCATGTACTTCGGATAAAGAAAACGACCTTCACAGAACTCTCATGTTTAATTCTCCCAGGTGACTATAATGAGGCAACATTTTGATTGGATTTGCAGTTAGATGACAATCCTTCTCCTGCCCATGCGTGAACAGGGTGTATTACAGCATATTATGCAAACTGCCCAGGAAAAGGTTCATCCGGGCGCTCCAGGACAAACACGCAGTGGGTTGTATGATGGTGGCTGGAGGTTCTGGATGGTGTAGGAACACGCTGCCAAACTTTCATCATTGAATTCTCTCTCAAAGTTTGTCATTCTTGAGTGCTTTTCTCACACACACACACACACACACACACACACACACAATTTAGGAGATCTTAATGGCTTTCAGCAAAATGTTAATAGGCTAGGCTCTTAACAGTACTCAAGTCCTGCACATTTATTAAAATAAGAATGTTACCCTTCTTCCCGGTAGACTGTTGCCATTGTTTGAAAACAGGTTCTGTACTTGCTCTCTCCAGGAACTGGCTGAGGCCCTTGAATCCTACTTTTGGCAACATCAAAAGGGATGTTAATGACTGAGGCTATTGTGCCTGAGAGAAGACCAATCCCAAATTTTCTCAAAAACTCCAAGGTTGGATCCTAAAAGAAAAGAAGAATAAAGTAACAGAGAGGGAAGCGGAAGCCCCTAAATTGGCTAAACACTATAAAGCAATATGTATTTAAGCAGAGCATTGCACTCCCCGGCACCCTCCTGTTATTCCAGCGGAACACATTAGGATTTCCTAGGCTGGAACTTGTTTTCTTGACAATCCCATTGGCTATGTTTTTACACATGGTCTAAATTGCTGAAGTACACATTTCCTCACACAGGATTTATAAACACAGTTCATAAAGAAAGACTGGTATGGCATATGGGGATGATTTGTATAATTGGGCTTCACAATGTACTTAGTATTACTGTATCAAAACAGGAGAAATCCAAGCACACTATTAGCTAATTGGCCAGAATATTTTACAAATGACAGCAACTTCCACCATGAAGCCTACTAAAATGCTCATTTGTGTGCGGACCCCCAAATGTTAAATTAAATCAAGGCTACTCTTGGTCTGCTGCTATTCCCCTCCAGGTTTTTTGCATTTATTTTCACGTGTAGCTGATCCACTGTACTGAGAAGTGCTAGCTTCCTGTTATTAACAAACCAACTGATGGAGTTTGCAAAACAGCCTGTGACATTCTGTGCATTATAAACAGTAGTAAGTTAGGGGACTAATTGGCTGAAGAATTTACAACCTATTGTTCCCGAATCTTATTCTTCCTTCATGGCAAAGGAAGAAAAGAGAGAGAGAGAGAGAGAGAGAGAGACAGAGGCATAAAGACAGAGGCCTTGGGTTGGGGGGGGTGGTGAGGTAGGGGAGTTGGAAGGGGGAGAGAGAAAGAGAGAAATCTTTCTTCTTTCCGTTTGAATTTCGGTCCTTCACTTTGGTCTGATTTGATTTTTTCCACCCCTCCCTGCTCTGCTTTCTGACATCAAAGTATTTAATTAGGTCTTATGTGGGAGTCACTTTCCTTCAGCCTATCTTTGTGCCCAGTGAGCTCACATTATGCTTTGTTATAATGAATTTGCGGGGAAGTTCTCATTACGTTTTCAGCCCCGGTTCTTGCCCTGAAGAGAGGTCATCCCACAAACCATAAGTTGCTGATGGAGACCACCCACCCCTCCCCCATCCCTCCTCTGCCCTTTCTTTCGGTCAATATTTCAGGACCATCTTCACACAGGAACAATACAGGATGGTGCCAAGATACCATTTTGCCCAGCAGGAAAAGGAAAGTGGAGAGACATACTTGATTAAAATAAAAATAAAAAAATTATGAAATCATGTCTGAGCGTTGCATGCTTCTAGCTTCTATGGAAGAAGAAAACTTCTGGAAGCTCTGAAATTTTCAACTGAACCAAGAGCCAGATACCATCACAGAAACCCCTATGTGGCTAAATATAAAAAGTGAAAGGTTCGGTAATAATTCTTGGATCTGGGCCATACAGGTGCCGGGTAGGTTTAAAGGGATTTAAAAACCAACAGGGTGTTTCAACAGGAAAAACAATGCAGTGATTGCAGTATGAGTGAGGTGTGTTTAAATAATTCCCCCTCCCCCCATTTTTTTCTCTTTTACAAGGAGAGAAAAACGCCTTTATGTTACCCTTCTCCGTTATGGCCCAGAAGCAGAGCTGGAGCGCAGGAGGATGGCGGGTTCAGGACTGGCTCTGGTTTGTCTGACCTCGCACAAGTCACCAAATCACACAAGTCCATGTCCAGAAGTTTAACACCCGCCTTACCTTTGTCCTGCATTGTTTTTCTGAGAAACAAAAAACATTAAAAGAAGTGAAAGTACTACGAATGTTGTATAAGCCTGGCGGAAAATGGATAGCATTATTATGTAGCCTGTCTTCCAAAGTCTCAAAGCATCCCGTAATAAGACTCTCTGATGGCATCCCTGTGACATAGCCAAGTGCTCCTTTTTCAATTGAAGACAAGGGTGAAAAGGATGACTTGTATGCACCTTGTCCTTTTGAGACAAAGGACCCCCTCAAGCATGCAGCTTGTCCCATCTCCCAGTGTGTTCACTGGAGTCTAGAGATGGAGGGGGGTTTCCCTCCCAAGACATTCGATGGAGTTCACTGTGCTTGAGACACCGCTGGAGACTGAAGTCTACGGTCTTCAGCTCATCACAGTCTCCATCTGCACAAGTATGGACCGAACCAGGGTCTCTATACACTTCTCTTAACTAATAGTCAGGTACCACAGCAGTTCCCCAAACCAGATGTGCATCACAGTCACCTGAGAGCTTTACAAAATATGCATGCCTGGGCCCCCACCTCAGGTTTCCAGATCAAAGTCACATGGGAAAGGACCTGAAAGTTATTTTAAAAGATCTCCAGGACTTCCGAAGCTGCCAGGCTGGGGACCCACGTCCAGGCATTAGTGATTTTGATATTCCATGCGGGCAAACCAGATAGTCACTTGCTACCCTTCTGGGCATTCTAGGAAGGACAAAAGTCTTCTTGGGACAGCGGGGAGGTATTCCTCACCACCTGGTCCCTGGGGGCTCAGCCAGTTTCTTCCTCAGAGCCCATGGTCTGCTCTATGCAGCAAACCCCTTGGGGTTGGGCGTGCTAAGGAGCGCCCTCTCAGCTTGCCTCTGCCCTTTTTTTGTCCCCCCCACTACGTGTCATCAACCATTCTCAAAATGCAGCCTCTCGCACACTTCTCCCCTGCATGCACCCCTGGCTACTCCCGCTGCTCTGGCTTTAGCTCAGGCTCCCCTCACCTTACCAGGTCGTGTTTGCTTTTTGCTCTCTCTCGTCTGTTCACAGTGCACCAGCTCTCTTCTTGGAAAACAGATCTGCCTGTGGTTTCAAAGACCCTCAATCCTTCCCCACTGCATGGCGAGTAAAGCCAAAGCTCCTCACTTGGCCTTTGGTTTCTTTCCCATGTGTTTCCAACTTACATCTCCGGCCTCCAGTTTGATACCTCCGCCCCACCCCCATTCCACAGTCACACTGGTTAAATCATAATTATGCAAACTAACCAAGCACTTTTCTACCTCTTTTCTTCAAACTACTTCCATAGCCTATGAAGTCCTTCTCCATTATAGTTACCTAACACAGTCCCACTTCTCCTTTAGGGACAAGCCTAAATCCCACTGTGCCCAGGATACTTTAATGCATCCCTGTAAAAACTGATTTCTCCCTCCTCCTGTACTCTTGAACCTCTGTATGAACCACAATCTTTGCCCTGGCCAAGGCTCACTGTATGTTTGGTTTATTTTTGCATGTATTTATTTTCCCTGCTGGATTGTGAGCTGGCATAGCATCGGAACACATGTTATGTGTTACTCCTCTCGGTGTCATCTGTTACACAGTGTACACAGTAGGTGCTAAATAAATGTCTCCTGCTTGGTCTATCAGTGTATTTATTTACTTTTGTAGAAATAATGAGAATCAGGCTTAACCCTTAATCACTATTTCTCAAGACTCAGCATCTTCTAGCCTAGAAACAAACCTCTATTAACAACTTTACATTTCTATCTTTCTGCCAGGAGGCATTAACATGGGGACATGACAAGGCATTGGACATTTGCAAAGTGGAGTATTTCAGGGCAAGTAAATTGAGACTCTCGGGTCACAGAGCCAGGCCTGGGCTTGCTAGATCCCACTGCTCAGTGACTCGCAGACAGAACCATGATATGGCAGCCTGTGACTAGATTTTAGCAGAAGACTGTGATGGGAGTAGAGTAAGTAAGGTCTTGAAATAGTACACTTAGGGCTCTTCTTTCTTATACTTCCTGAACTTTCCTTAGTAGGGAGAGGCACCCACTTGCCTCAAGAATGATAGTTTATTGTAGCAAGACTGTGAAGAGACAAAAAAGGCAATACTTAGTGTTTCTGGTTTTCAAATTATGCCTTTTCATGTATTACATCAGCTAATCTTCACAAACTTTGATGGAAGAACATTATTATTATTCCTGCTTTAAAAATGAATTAACTGAAAGGTTAAGTATAAGAAGGGAATTTTTGTTACATCCATGTGAGCCTAAGACTTTGCTTCAGGTCATAGTTTTTCTACTGATACTCCTTAGGGCTAGTGGGTGGGCTGGTGGGAGAAGGGTCCCAGCACCTCCTGAAATTGTGAGCAATGCTTCTGTGTATGTGTATATGGACTCTTCTGCAGAGAGTGTCTATAGATTTTATCACGCTCAAAGTAGCTTAAAAATAACTTCATGAAACTATTTCCCCTACCAGTAAATTCATAAAGAAGAGGGGAGTTCAGGGTTGAAAACGCTAGGGCTGAAAAAAAAAAAGTCCTCATTTTCACAGGGGTCATTAGGCGATTCAACTTTGAGGAAAGATTTCTGCACACATTCCTGCCCTGGAGTCACGTTGCTCATACTTCAACTGTTTCTATGAACTCAGTGGTTCTCAAAGTGTGGTGTTTGAACCACCATCATCAGTACCATGTGGCAACTTATTAGAAATACAAATTGGCATTCTAGCCCAGGCCTATATGGGGATGGAGCCCAGCAATCTGTTTAAACAGTCCTCCAAATTTAGTCTGATGGATACGAAAGTCTGAGAACCCCTGGTTAATTGGAAGATTATGGTTCATCTCTTTGTATCCTTGGGTTGGATAAGTGATGCACTGGGTTGCTCTGGACATGCTGGGAGGGATTTTAAAGCTTTCTTTGGGGCGCCTGGGTGGCTCAGTAGGTTGAGCCTCTGCCTTCGGCTCAGGTCATGGGATTGAGCCCTGCATTGGGATGGGGGGGTGTCTCCACTCAGCGGGGAGCCTACTTCCCCCTCTCTCTCTGCCTGCCTCTCTGCCTACTTATGATCTCTGTCTGTCAAATAAATAAATAAAATCTTTAAAAAAAAAAAATCTTTCTTTGGTGGAAACAGGGCTTTGTTTCTTTAAGGCTGCAGAACTAAAAGTGATGCTGTTAACTGTGTTCCAACCTGCTCAGTCCAAAGCAAGTATGCATACTTGTGAGGTTTCGGGGTACCAGTGATACCTGTCACCTAGTTATTCTGTACCGGCTATCAATGAATCATTCATGCATTCCTGTCACTAATGATAAAAAACAC